GCGCCACTCGGCCGGCCCTCCTCTTCATTATTCTTAAAGTGCAGTTAGGATTTTTCCTCCTAAAGGACCCAAAATGTTTTGCTGACCTGTAGCCAGTGAATCTTACCATATAGGTGCATTTTCTTCTGGGGAAGGTAAAAAAACACATTTGCGAAGTAAGGGCATGACTAAATGATGGCTTCTTTGAGTATTCATTCAGCATTTATTATATAAAATACTTGTTTTATTCTCCCCCAAATGCATTTATTAAAGGACATTAAATTAAACTTTATACTTGAGGAAATATAAATTGGTACAAGAAGATCCCTAGATTGCTATGTAATTTCTCAGGATATACATTAACAGCAAGTGGCTAGAGATGAATCCATCTTGGCTGGAAGCCTTATAAGAAACCATTCAGTGCCCAGTGAACTGGGCCAAAAGGGAAAAGTCATTCTTTAGTCCAGGGTTCCATTTTGCTCCCAAGAATGCTGTGTGAATACATAAGAATTGAGCCGTGTGAGAAGACTCCAGGCCTTCAACCCCATCCTGAAGCACATGTCTATTAGATACAGTCAATAATATCCCTGGACAGCACTGAATTTAAGCAGATACCATGTAGTGCCTCTGTTCATAATAGTTGGCCCTTGAGCAACACTAGTTTGAACTGCGTAGGTCCACTTATATGTGTATTTTTTTTAAATATGCAATCAACCATCTGTATCCCAGGGTTTCTCATCCACGGATTCAACCAATTGTGGATCAAAAATATAATAGTATTTTCGATCCCCGGTTGGGAATCCACAGATGTGGATTGTTCTACACCATTTTATATAGTGGACATGAGAATCCACAGATTTGGGTATCCTCAGGTATCACCAAGGGACAACTGAAGTTTTGGGACAGTCAAAAGTTACATGTGGATTTTTGACTACATGGGGGGATTGGTGCCCCTAACCACCATATTGTTCAAGGGTCCACTGTACTTTTAATGGGTTCTCTGTCACACACTAGCTACCACTTCTCTGTTGTATACCAATTAAGTATGCCACAAATATCCCAATGGGAATTCAAAGTGTAGCAAAAATGTATAAAAGTAAAGTGGTAATTTTTTTTAGACAAAATGCAGATTGTCTAGCTTATAAATTTGGGAGTAACTCCTTTTGTACAACTGCAAT